ATCCGATGTAATCGGATTGCCAGATTGTAAAGGAATAATGGGTATTTGGAAGTAATTATTTTGGTTGATGATTTTCGGTGTAGATTCGTTGCAATCCGATTGTCGGATTTTAGATTATGATGAAGGGTTGTTTTCCGGCAGGATCCGACATTGGAATGAATTCAAAAAGCTTGAGGAAACCTGTTGAAATCCGATGTTATCCGGTTTTGAATCTGGGATCATCCGGAGGTTTTCAGAAGATGGTTATGTCAGGACATGGTCGGATCCGATTGTCAGTTGCGATAAGATCCGACCAGATCTTTTCCGGTGTAATCCGGTCTGGAATCCTGTACGTGAGAATCCGACATAAACTAGGTCGGTTCCTATCGGTCTTCAACGGAGTGCGTCGGATTCCGGAGTAATCTGGTGTCAGATCCGATGTGTTCCCGTACGGTCCAGAAGTCGATCGAATATCCTGGGTCTGCTGGAAAAACAAAATTCTAAGCAGAATTATGATTTTGAGCTGAGGAGGTTGTATATTCTGCAACACAATTCTACTGTTAAAACATAATTCTAGGTTAGTTCTTGCATAATTCTGTTGAACAAGTAACGCGCGTCGGGACGACTCGCTTGACCCTCGACTGTGTATTTCTACGTCTAAATACTGCTTTATTTTATAAATAAACATAATTTTGCTAATAGTAAAAGTATGCACACATATGTTTATAAATATGATATAAATTGCCTATGATACGATCGTTGGGTTCGAGTTATGATGATTTCATATATAAAATCATCATTCTTATCTACAAATTAGTAAAACAAGCTGCTTTCAAAGTTCATGTTATAGAATTCTCGTTTATATGTCTTGATAGGGAAATCTATTATAGGTTTTGTTTTTTCTGATGAATATCACGAAATGATGTAGATTTTAATAGATAATATTAAACTGAAAATTAAGCGTCGATGATAAGAAGTGCATCACCTTACAAATTCGTACAGTAGCACGGAAATTAGTATTATGTCGAGACAACAATAGAGAAAACTACGTTTTATACTATTGCATATCGATATCTATGCTTGAATAAATAGAATGTAGTCTGAACAGAACAATCCTATACCGTGATGTATTATGGAAAAAATGTTCGCTGTTACCAATAACGATCGCACTTTTACTGAATATCATTGTAAATAGATCTATAACATGTCGCAGCTTGTATTACGGTATCGAATTATTTGACAAATACTATGATTCTATGATATGACTAATAATATTTTATTTTATTTACAAAAATTTCATGCATAATAAGATAATACAAATATATCGAATATGTAACTCAAACAAACAAAAAAATAGATGCGAAAAGGAAGATGCATCTATAACCAGCAAATAACTTTTCACAATATGAACTAGAAAAGGATTACAACACTACTATAAAAGCGATACTAATACAAAAAAACACAATTATAATAAAGAACATAGATTGATGATTTCATTAAAAAAAACATAATATGCAAAACAGTTCATAGCTACTAACATGCATTTTTATATAATAAAGAAAAATTATTGAAAATACTCAGAAAATCGAAATTGAGTATCAATATACAATTTATCAAGTCTTTCAATTTCAGCAACTTGCGATTTACTTGGTTTGATTCGTAGAACGTTGTACTCGAAAGGCCGTAAAATAGCTACATCAATGAAACGTTTGAAACGTGATAGCGGTACATAAACAGCGGCAATATCTTCAGTTTCATTAGGCAGTTTAAGGTCAATCACGGCTTTACTCAAAGTTTGGCCTTGACTCTTATGTGTTGTGATACAATAAGCAGGTACAAGTGGTAGTGCACGTCGTTTAATTGACAACATTGCTTTCTGGTTCGATTTTGGCTTTTTATTTTTTGGAAGCATGTCAGTAACGTCAACACGAAATGTTTGTTCCATTAGCGGTACGGGGACGATTTTTGGTTGAAGTGTTTCAAGATTACATTCAATTTTTGATCTAGCAATTTCAATTAGTGCATATAAGGGTTGATGCACGTACTGTGTGTTGTTCGGAAATGTGTTTGATAGAGCATCTATTGATACAGAATCAGGCTCGTAGACTAATTGTCGAAATATTCCATTTATGCCGATAATAAGATCCAGTTCAATGGCAAGATTTTGCGTTAAAATAACTGGCATTCCAGGAACAAATGGCAACAAACCGGGTAAGTGTTCCGTCTTGCTGTCAGATAATTCCAATAATTTTTTCATAAGTATTGGATCTTCAATTGCTTTGCCTCTGCAGGTATCTTGAGCGACACATACCATTAGCTGAAGACCTAGTTGTGCTGCATTATGAACTGCTGCTTTGTTGTTTAATTGTGTTCGTACTTCATTTCGATATGCCAAAGTGGGAGCCTAAACATCAAAACGATGAAAAATTATTTTAAAAAGAAAAAAGAATTTACTTCGTTCCATGGTGATTCGCGAAGAGAACTGACCGATGGCTGACCAACGACGCGTGTTAATAATAATTCATAATCTCCCAAAGTACAGTCACCGTGACGAAGCCGTTCGAGTAATTCACGGTATCGTTCATCTTCTGTTCGCATCTGTGTACTAAGTTTGATCACACAGTTAATTTGAAGTATCAGGGAACGTGCAGCGCGTTGTTGAATTTCTTTTTCACTACGTGATTGACCTGATTTGTTTTTAGAGGGCTGTGAAAAGTCAGTGTACAACGGTGTATCATATACTGGTCGATACTGTAAATAATCACCAAAAAATATAACGTTTATGCCACCAAATGGAATTTCAGGGTCGACATGTTTGGCAGCGGAAAGAATTCGATTGAGTTTTGCAAGTAGAGTTAAACCAACCATACTCATCTCATCGATTAGGAGATATTCAACGAGTGCCCATTATTTTTCAAGTTTGGAATCACCTGGCTTGATGGTGCGCGGCTTTCCCGAATTACGTTGTTCACCTAAAAATGAATGGATTGTCATGCCGCCAATTTCAGCAGCAGCGATTCCAGTGGGTGCGAGTTTTCGCATCATCTGCATTCTTTTTGTAATAAGAAAGTATTTGGTGACAGCACGAATCAGTTGTGATTTACCTGTGCCGCCGCATCCAGGTATGCACATTATCAGTTGACCATTGTTGGTACCTATATATATATATATATATTATTTTGATTTATTATTATACGTATATATCATTAAAATACCTTCATGACGTTGTTTATCACCATCAAGATGACTGGTTATTATCATAAATGCAGCTCGTTGTTCTCTATTCAATGTATATTCAACAATAATACTTTGCTGAGTAGAATAGCTTGTGGTAGTGACTGATGCAACTGGAAGAATTTGAGTGTAATTATCAAATATATCTATGTTATGATTATTTGAATTGACCATAGTTACAAGTGCATCCTGTATACTATCATAATCTAATGTATCATCAGTTTTGTCGTATTTGCCCGTAATTAAACTTCGTCTAACTCTTTCTTTCTCAGCCTTTAGTTGTTCTTGCCATTTTGTATTGAGTCGAACGAGGTTAGGTGTTGCTGAGACGAACGGCACAATTTGTTGAAAGTGATCTCTAGAAGATTCATTTACTAACGATTGACTATTTTCTATAAAAAAAAGTAGTAAAGTTTGTATCTACTGCATAATTAATAATAATGCTTACTACGTGTGTGAGTAAAGCGTCCAACTTTTTCAACTGCTTCTATGGTTTCTTCAATGTATATATTTTCTGTTGTCTTTTTGGTGCTATTTAATGCATTGGTAGTATATTCGTTTAAATTACCAAGCAATTCAAGTAAATCTTCATTGTCACTTGTGTCGTCATATTCATCACGCATGTTACGACTTGGTATGACTAATTCAGGATCAATCGTATCATTTTCAGTTTGAGCTTCAGTTATAACTCGAAGTAAATGCTCATGACGATCTTTCTTACATTCATGTAAGAGTTGAATATTTTCTATAATATTCCATGAATCCGGAGATATATGATGTTGGCGTGACTTGAGTGCATCTTCCCAATTTTCATTAACATCACAAAGATCAGACACCGAACGCCAAGGTACAAAAAGTGTGAGAAGAGCTCGACTATATCGTTCTTTAGTATCTTCACGATCATGTCGAGGAATTTGAGGACCATAGAGAATCGGTATATGAGCCTCACTGTATTCAGTCAACAGATAGGTTGTTGCTTGTGGATGCTGTTCTTGAAAAGGAAAACGTTGATTTGGTGGTCGGCCTATTCGAATCCCTTGTTGATCTTCTGTAGTGGAAGATTTGGATAAGTATTTTGCATCTGTTGCATTCATTTTTCTCTTGTAAAATGTACTAACGAAATCGTATAAACAGATTTTGCTTAGAGTATCTGATCGATATTGATAATCAACTCTTGTGTTGACAAGTACAAAATTGTTTTTATTTTCAGTAGATTGAATCTGAAAATTTTCTTCATTATCATCTTCAGCTGCAGTATTTTGATCATCAAACACATTGTCATCGTCAATTACATCTATATGTGAAAAAAATATATGGATGTTTCTTTGTTTATTTAATTAGATATATACATCTATGTTTCCTGCCTTGATATATAAGACAAGAATTATATTTAAATTAGAATAAATGAGTTCGATACTCAACACTTATTTTGTGCAGTATCATAACTAAATTACACTTATGTAGTTCTTCGAGTATAAACTGTTTGAAAATCAGAAACAGTGTATAACGTTTTCCATCCGTCAATGTGATTGTTTTCTCTCTTTCCGTTCTCTCGGTCTATGAAAACAAGTGTACAGTTTTAACTGATTATCATTTATATTGTTTTTCGTTTCGTCTAGGTTATGTCTATCGCAAATGACTTTTCTTTTTCTTTATTTTCTTGTTCTCACTCTTCTCTCTGTTTCGCTTTGCATATGCAGAAGAAAAATAGTTGCTGTTTCAATAAAAGTTAGTGCAAAATAATAACTGTAGAAAGGTAAACTATTATCTTACCATGCGAGGCATGTTCTAAATTTTGTTTAATGCGTAATTCGTTTAATTCTGTTTGTAGAAATATCTCAGTTTGAATTAAATAAAGACCTTGAAATTCGTATGTAGTGTAATGGTCGCCCCAGTTCATGAGATAAGAGGCAACTTGAACTCCAGATAGCTCTTGTTGAGAAGTAAGTGTATTGTAACAACGCAAAACCAGTTTGCGTGATCTTTGTATAGCACTTTCTGTCTCTGTTTGATCTGATACATTTTTGAATGATGTAATACTTTTTTGAATAAGAGAGAATGTATCATGAAAAGATAGACTCGTTTTTGTAATATAATCAGTGATATAATACACAAGAGCCTTAGTATCACTACCAGTCCAAATAAATTTAATATCCATATTGGAACGACATGCTGATATAATGTATTCATTAAAATTATTAATCCATGGATGTGATCGTCGCATAGAAATATGACCAGTCTCTGGATCAATTGTCGATACTGATACCAATTTGCGTGGCATAATTAATCGACAAATTTTCTTCGCCATATCTTTACAATATTTATAACACGTATCACTATGTCTGTGAACATTACCTGATTCAACAAGTTGTGTCACATCAGCACAAAATCGTGACCAAAAGTTAGGTAAAGATGGATTTGGAGTAGGCAAACATGATGGAGGTAGCCTTGGCTGGATATCTGAAACATCCATACGTAAAATGATAATTATGATTTTGTGTGTCATTAAAGATTTATTAAATCATACTAGATATTGATTGATCGTGTATTTGTGTTTGTAATAATTCAGTGCGTTGTGGGGAAGCATAAGGAATCGATGGAGAGCCACGCAGATTTGGTGGAGAAGCATAAGGAATTGATAGAGAGCCACGCAGATTTGGCGGAGAAGCATAAGGAATTGATGGAGAAGATTGGTCTTTCATCGGCGTCAACCGAATACCATTTTCATTTGTATTTTCTTCTAAACCTGCTAAATCAATAGTACGTAAAGCTGCATAAATATTATCACTTGATAATCGTGTTGGAGTATTGAATGATCTTGGCGCTGCAATATAGAAGAAGAATGCGATATTGAAATTAAAGAAATCTCTTATACCATCTAAATTGTCGAAGACACATTCATCTTTGAATTCATCCAGATCTTCTTTGATGATATCTTCTAAATATGCTATCAAATTTTCACGAAAACTTGCATCTTGAATCTTGTTCTTCATATCAGCTGGCTTCAAGTCATGATTAAGCCAAATAAGGAGATGCAAATGAAGTGAACCTCGTCCTTGACTTTCAACAGTACCAAAATATGCTTTCACAGGACCGACTACACCACCAAGAATCAGTGTATCTAAGATATTAGAAATCAATATATGGAAAAATTTAGCAGTAGCAACAGGATGAGAAGCGATAATTTCGGCACGTTTGTATGCGTCCATAAGTTGTTTGGCTTGGACATTGTCCAAATCAAGTTTCACACCTGCAAAATATAATGCTACGGGACTGTGAATATCAGCTGGATTGAGGGTGAGAAATATATTGTGCAGACTTTGATTAAAAATCATTGCATGAAGATGTGTACGTAAAGATGTACGTGAATATGCTGAACCCATCACTCGACCGCCGATTGTTTTAATATGATTTACCAGTTTACCTAAAGCCTTGTTAGATCCTTTATTGTATGTTCCTGTAGAAATGTTTTTAAGAGCTGCCTCAATATCACTAGTGTTCAATGAGTGAATTTCTTGAGCGGAAGATCGAAAATAAGGTTTCGTTGCTATAAGTTGAGCATGGAAACATGCATCACGTCTTTGCAATAAATTAAAGACTACAAATATAAAACTATGATTTGTTTCAAAACGTCGATCATTGTAGCATAAAAGATAACGTATATGTTCTCGTAAATTTATGGTGAGTGGCCGTGTTCGATCTTCAGGTGCTCCAAGTCCATAACAGAATAACGTTGGATAGAGACCTGCTAATAGTTTTGGATTAAAATATTCATTGACAGGTTTGGAAGAATGAGGAATTAAGTAAATATTTTCAACATCCATTTCATCATTTGTTCCATCGTTTTTGATTTTCTTTAGAAGATAATTATTTATTTCCTCGGAAGATATCGACGAACCATTCACGTCAAGAACAGCACTAATAAGCAGAAAAAGCTCTTAAAAAGTTTTCTTTTCTAGCTGTTCCTACCTGTTATTAACAGGAATGACATCTGAGATATTCAATTCTGTTGAGTTAGATAATGGATCAGGAATATATCCAGCTCTTTCAGATGGTACTTCTTTATCATTTAATATCTGTTCCATTGTAGTCATTATAGATTCTGGTATATCATCTTCAGGTAGTTGTGCGATATTATCTAGATTTATATCGATATTCTTATAAAGTATATTATATTTTTTCAACCAACGCAGCGCTTCAACAATCTTTTTCTTTCGCACTGTAAGAATTCTTTTGAGTTGAAGACGCTCTGGAGGACGAGCTCCAATAAAAATCACTTTGAGAGTGTCACACAGATCGGCCAGTTTAAGTGGTAGACTATTAACAATGTTTGGTGTATTTTGAAGAAATGTAATACAATTGCTTTTTAATGCACCTTCAGCAGTCGCCATTGAATGAAAAGGTGACTGCAGTTTTATTATACAACTGTTGTGACGGTGTAATGATATCAATTTTTCTTCTGGGATGGTTAGCCCTTGTAACTCAAGAGGCACATCACCTAACCACATGTTGTTTGCTACTGAAAACTTAGGAATATGTTCTTTCGATAAACCATTACTACATTTTTGACAAAGTATACACATATTTACATTATTTTCTTGATATATGCCGTTGACATAGAGAATAATATCATTTTCGTAATAGAAATAAGACGACTTTGAAGTTGAAGAACCTAAAATAAAATCAGGATTGCATATATAATCTTGAATGTTTTTGTTATCCGTATGACATTACCGTTAGAGTTTTTCAAACTAGATGATTGAGTATTGATGACTAAATTTTTTAGTTCATCAGAAATTTTGAGTAGATGTATATTAGGAATTTCTGACATTGGCATTTTTATTGACTCCTGTTCTGAACTACGAATATTGCAGACCGCACAAGTCACTTCAGCCAATACGGACATAGACATCTGAGAAAGAAATTGTTGCAAACATTCTTTTTTCAAGTCAGTAGGAATTGGCGCTGGCCAAGTCGAATGAATTTGACTTTTTTTTTTCTTTGTCATATTGATGTTCTGCTGTTGAATAATGATGTTATCAGATGTCCGTTTTTCTAGTCTTTTTTCGGTTCGATTGGCCTGACTTTGATCCCTTTGATAATTGATCCTTAACTGATATTGATCATCTGTTTCATTTCGTCGTCTGGATCGAGCTCGTTCTCTATCTTTTGCTAGTCGATCTTGCCGTTGTTCCTCCGTCTGATTAACTCGTCACAGACGCGCACGTTCTCTCAAAAGAGAAAGTCGGTTTTCATGTTCTTCTTCTATGTTCGCCTGAGCCTGTTCAGTTGCAATCGGACTGATTGCTTTAGTGCGTTCACTTTCAATATTGATATCGCTACGTACACGTCTGCTTGGAGAAGATTCAAATTCAGGAATGCGTATTTGAGCGACTGCATTGTTCTTAAATGTTTTCTTTTCAGGACTCTTAAAGAAAATAGTTTTGAAAATTAAAATTGTTAAAACATTTATTTAAGGTGTAATCGTTTACTTTGACATTAGATAATAATAATTGATTGTTATAATCAAAACTATATTGCTGATTTGGTGCTGAGAGAGGCACAAAATGATTCGGACTCCTTAGATTATTATTGGCCGCTCGCACGTGCATTTCATTCCAGACATTCGACCACAAAATTGCAACTTCATAATTAGCAACGATCGGCGGAATAGGTGTATATATACTATTCATCACAGCCATGCCAGCTGCAAAATCAATTTTCGGATAGACACTTCGTATATTGCATTTGAGTACACTACATAAAGCACAAATTTCGTACAATCCCCGAATATGTACGATTTTTGCATATAGCTTTAATAGCTATATCAATAAGCCCGGCCCGATGCGTATACATATTGTAATAAAACGCTTCATTTATTACAAGTTCAATAATCGTGCGAACTAAAAAATTGTCAAACTTTTCCTACTATCAAAACACACATGTCAAAAACCTCTACGAACCTCGTAATTCACTTGCTGTTAGTGTTGAGTCATTCATCAAAAGAATAATAGAATGATATAAACCATTTCCATCAGCATCAACATCGACTGGAATAAGATGCTGTGCGTCCGCCGATGCTTTTTCAAGATATTCCTTTGCAATCAAATCCACCACATGGATTCTATCATCGAACACCCCATAAGGACGAAACTCCAATGCTGATATAATCGATTCCATCTAAACAGTACAAAATACATTTGATACGATACGAATATGTACGTCCTCGTCGAATTCGTTGCACAGCATTAACAATCTCATCGTGATAAACGATACCTTCAGAACACCGTTCCAGAACTTGAAGTATACGTCCGAACTTCTGCGGACGAGCCATTCTATCACAACTAGGACAACAATGATTTACACACTGTGTAGAACAAAAAATACATTCGATAGTCATAGTTGATAATACAATTAAATTCCAATTATGAATAAATCTGAAATGAGACATAAACAAAAAATCTTTTATAAAATGTACCAAAAGTCTTCTTTGTTTCTCTTTTGAACGTTTCTGTCGATAGTATCCTTTACTTTTCATTTTAAGTCCACGCAACAAATTCAATTGTCAGTCCTAATCCATAGCTTTCACCGCGGTGGAACATCTCTCAAATAGGGAAATAGTCTCGTCTCTAAATATTATCTCACATATATGTATACATACGCACAATTTGTAATCAGAGAGATATTTATTTTTCTACCAAGATTTTTTATCTTCTATAATATCTTAGCAATTCGATTTCAATTTCTGATAGAAGAATGTATTTTAACACACATGCAACGCGTCATGACGGAATTATTCTTTTTTCCATTAGATTTTTTATTTTCTATAATATCTTCCCAATTCTAATTGATATTCTGATAAATGATTCAACTTCGAATTTAAATATCTAAGTTTGATGATGTTTAAGTATTTGTAATAAACAGAAATATTCTCATCCATTTATATGATGTCATATGCATGTACACATATATACAATGCTCAATGAGCAACATATTTTTTTGTTTCTTAAATTTCTGAATTATTGTCACTGCAGTCCTCATTGTCATCTTCTTCTTACTTCATTTCTTCCATATTATAATATTATTTTATTTTCCTAGATCATCATATATGTTGCATCTATATATATAGATATACTATTTGATAAATCATATATCTAGACGTGTTTTTCTTCTTCTTTATGAACATCTTTTTCTCTATTATCTATCATCATCAACAAACGACAATAATAAAACACATGCTGATTCGATAGACTTCAGTTCTATAAACGATATTTGCATGTTACATTAGATTTCATTTTATTTATATTCGAAAGCGAAAGCAAAGGCAAAACGAATTTTTAAATGGTAATATATCTTATTATAAATACCAACAATATTCATATCCATATATGTACTATGTCTATATAAATGAAAGAGACTGCAGCAATACAAAATAAAAGAATATTTTCATTTAAAGTTATTTCATATTTTTCTTCTACTATCTCTTTGTATTTCATCATTTATTTTAACTTGAATAATTTATTTTAACTTGAATAATATGACGAAATTCAAAGCCAAACACATGAGAAACAAACGAGAATTACTATAATATATATAGAATTCTTTTTTTTTGTTCAAGAAAAATAAAACTATACATTGGGAGAGTTTATATCAATGTTTTATTTAAAATATATGTAACTTAATATAAACATCTAATTCTTTTATATTTAACTTTATCAAATTCTTATACATGACATGTAAAAACTGAAATTTATTTCAAGACAAATAACATATACATATAGATATATATACATATATTAAATAAAAGAATAAAAACATATTATATTATGAAATAATATATATATATATATATATGTATAATATAAGATAATCATCAGTATTATTTTTCATTTCTTCACAAAATTTTACATGATTATATTTCTATTTTTAATATAAGAAAACATAGACAAAACTTATGTTTGATATAAAATAAAATCACCATGAATATCTTGTTTGATAGTTCAAATAAATTATAAATTGTATTCATATGAATACACATATATATAATCAAATAGATATAATATATAAACTTATTTTTTTGTATTTTAGAAATCAGTTAATTCAATATATATATATATGTATATAAATAAAGATTATATATAGAAGTATATTTATCATTGTCTTTTGTAATTATATGATTGACTTTAACAAAACAAAATCGAATAAATAAATTCAATAACATTATATATTTATTTTATATGTATCATATAGTTCAATTATGAAATGATAAATATAAAAAAAACAATTGTATTTCGTCATATGACATCTGTACAGACAGAAATGAACGATTTGACATAGAATTATCTATTTAAAATTAAAATGACGAATAAAATAAACTAGTAAAATAGAAAGAAAAAGATTGTAATGATGACTGATATATATATATATATATAGATGGACGTGAAAAGTTACTAGGATACCCCTAATATATTTTTTTTATATAGTTATGACAGATCATGATAAAATTGTAGTTTTTTATAGGTGATTGTGTCATTATTGCTCTACCAATTGATCCATTTAATTTATTATTAATAGAATCACTTAAATTCTTAGGTGTATCACCATAATACCATTGTTGAGCACGAATATTGGAAATGAAACTATTTTCTAATCAACTCCAATATTGATCAATCGTAGAAATCTAATCATCGAATATCATATTATATGAAAAGGAATAATAAATAATTTTTACTTTCGTATAATTATTATTAATTCGCTTTGTAGTTAAAAAATACTTTTGTATATAGTTTACTTGAAAAAAAGCGTTTGAATTTATATTTGTATAAGTAATAAGCTATATTTATATTGGAAAATATAAATAGAACACAATTTCTCAAATAATTGTCCACACATGTATTTCTTTTAAACGTTGATCACGAGCTTAAGCTGGTTCATCTTCATTTAAACGATCATTACAATTCTGTCAACAATAAGTAAATGGCGATTCACTTGAATGTATATTCTTCATTATAATTTAAATCAAAATCATCATTATCATCCAAATATTCAACTACTTCGTTATCCATGTCTGATTTTCGAATAACGAAAGCAAAGAAAATTGCTAATGCAACCACCTATAAAATATACATGTATACATTTTAAATCATTTCATTATTAAAACAAACTAATTACTTTTGATCGGTGAATTAAAAGTATTGATTAAGTAAAACCACTTATAAGTGATATTAACCATTTTTGTGTTTTCAAATCACCATATTGAATACCACGTACAATTATAAAAGATGATGATATCAGAACTAATATAAATGATAAACTATAAGCAAAAAATAAATACCACGAAGGAAATATGAATTGTGATCGTTTCGTTTAATTTGATTTTATACTAAAAAAAATAAATAAATATGAAAAATGAAAAGATGTTAACTAACGATTGTCTTGGTTGTTGTTTGTGTGATTGTCGAGTTAATATGTGTCGAGAGAATTGAACAAGTAATAAGCATAGAACAAATGGGAGAATTTCAACAATTGTATCAAGACTAATCTAATTTTATTAAAATAAATTTTATATAACTAACTGTAAAAAAAGAAAGAAAATGAAATAAAACCTATTGAGCACTGATCTGTAATAGACCAAATTATGAACTTCCACTTGTTTCTTTTGCTTGATCATAATAAAGAACATTTAAAAGCATTGCAGTAAAAAGTAATACAAAACAACAAGTACATCGTTGAATACGTGTAAATTTATTTGATGATGGATGAGAAAATAATTTATTCGATCTATCATCTATCTATAAACAAATCATAGTGGCGCTCATATGAGCCACTCGTGTTCGCTATACTGCGAATCATATTCTAAGTCAAGCCTAGATTCATATATACTTACAAATCAAAGTGTACAATTGATGTATCAAAGATTTTGAAAAAAAACAATTTTTTTTAAAATTTATAATAATAATCGAATTACTTGCCGATGAAAAAATAAGAAGAGTTTTTTATTATTAATAGGCTAATAGTGTCATATCTATGAAGAAATCAACAATAACATGTAACAATGAAACAAAATGATTCAATTGCCGAAATGTTCGCCTTATTTATAGAGTGATAATGTTCTTTTTTTCTCTATCCTCTTCATTGACCTTGTAGCCGAAAATTGTTCTTTTTCTAATGTATTTTTATTATAGTGAAAGAGGCGTGAGTTATATTCTTTACAAAATTAAAAAATGAGTCACGTTCTTCAAGATATTACTATCTTATATTTAGTTTCGTGTGTTCTTCAATATCAGACTGGTCACGAACAATTTATATCCATGATATAAATCTGTTTACATTAAAATCTGTCTCAAGGTTATTCATGTATTTTTATACATATTCTATGATTATGATAAAAAATGATCATGAGGTACATGAGATAATATTCAAAGCTTTTTTTTCGCTATTATGTAGTTTTATTTCATTAAAAAAATTAGTAATTAACTGGTAAACATTCAATACTCATTTAAATGAATCAACAAATTTATAAAATAGATTAAATTATGTATTTCAAATTTCAATAGTTTCCTATTAAGATCAAGTAAATCTCTCTTAATTTAGTTAACAAATTAAAATACAATATGTTGTATTTCTACATTAACTATAATCATATCTCAAATTTTATTACAAGAATATTCTTTAGTTTATATTTTACATATAACTAAATATAACTCAACTGTTTTAAACAAACCAAACTTGTATACTTTCATTGATCTATTATTGTCCCAAAAAATACTTATATTAATTATCTATTCATAATTCTCTGAAAATTATATAATCAACACAACAAAATAAAAATTCATGTAGTTTTTCAGAAAAATACATTTTACCAATGTTTTATCAAAATAGAGAGAATAAATGATTGAAAGATTTTTATTATTTTTACATACGAACTTCCTTAAATTTGTATTTTAATTTTAGATAGACAAAGATATAGATTATTACTGATTTTACACTTATATTTTTACTTTTTTTCTAATGTCATTTCAAGGTAAAATAGTGGTGTCACTTTAAATTTGCTTTAAAAGTTGAGGGTAAGAGTGTGGGTTTGGGTGTGGGTGTTGGGGTAGGTGCGCGTGTAAACGGGTGCAGGTGTGGGTGTGGGTGTTGCGGTAGGTGCGCGAGTGAGCTCTTGGGTGTGGATGTCGGTGCGTGAGCGTGGGTGTAGATCTAGGTGTGGGTGTAGGTTTGGATGGGTCCCAGTGCAGGGTTGCCTACGGCGCGGTTCCTTTGGATATGTGAGTGAGGGCCACCGAGGGTATGGCGGATTAGGGTGTACGTGTTGTTTGAGTGGGTTGTAGCTGTATGGGTGCGTTTAGCTGTAGGTGGGTGGGGGTGTACGGTTGCCTCCAGTGGGGTTCCTCTCGGTATGTGGGTGAGGGGGCGGCACAGTGGGCACAGAGAGTGAGGGGCTACGTGTAGTTTGAGTGAAGGTGTGGGTGTATCTTTATATCCTTTATTCATAACAAAGCCCATCCCACCCACACTTCGCTCACATATACTACACTCACACCCAAGCTCCGACCTACCTCGCACGATACTGCATGTAAACACCCTCAAGATTTTCTAACCTTCGAATGCCGATTTGTCGATTTTATGAACTTTGCTTTCTGATCGATTGACAAGCAGCGCTCATCCCAGGACACGCTAAGCTCTTTTTCGTAGAGAAGCATTTTCTCTGCATTCACTGGAAAAACAAATGAAACCATGAGAAATTCATTTTCGATGGTTTTTTCACATTTGAATCTTCTTCACCCCACCACTCCACATGGTCAGCTAACAGTACTCATCTTTCAATTCTCCGCATCGAAAAACGTCTGAGAACGTGTTTTTCGAAAAATTGGTCTCCGATGTTTTATTGACCTTTAACCCGACATCGACGGCCCGGACCCTCCAACCAACAGAGCTCAGAATCGAAGTCTCCGCATCGAAATACATCTAGAAGTATTTTTTTCCAAAAAACAGTTTTCGATGTTTTTTTGACCTTTGACCCTTGACCTTTGACCTGCGACAGACACACAGACAAACGCATTTTCATTTTTTTCGTATCACCCTCTTTTCAGTCGAGGGAATAAATAGAATTATGATCAGAATGGTTAGAGTTCATAGTTGATTATAAGAATTCTGCTTTCATATATATTATAATGCAAAAAAAACATCAACAAAATTCTAGAATTTTACCAGTGAGAATTTTGCCACTGCTGTAATATTAACGGTTAACGGAACCCGTTAACGTTAATATTAACGCAAGGGGGAAACAGCGGACTTCAAGACTTCAAAGACTTCGACAGACTCCAAGAGACTTCAACAAGCGAGACTTCAATTTTTCAAAAGACTTCTAAAGACTTCCAAGGACTTCCAAAGATTTCAGAAGACTTCGATAGACTTCAACAGACTACAAGAGACTTTAAGAGACTTCAATGGACTTCACAGACTTCAAGAGATTTCAAAGACTTCAATAGACTTCCAAAAGTTCAAAAGACTTCTAAAAGTTCAGAAGACTTCCAAAAGTTCGAAAGACTTCTAAAAGTTGAAAAATCTTCCAAAAGTTCAAAAGACTTTCAAGACTTCAAAAGACTTCTAAGATTTCAAAAGATTTTCAAGACTTCATGAGACTTCATGCATGAAGTCTGTGTTGTTTCCCCCTCGGATTTTCTCGTGAAATATATGCATCCCTAGAAATTCTAGAAGACATCATGAGACTTCATGAGACTTCGCAAGACTTCGTGAGATTTCATGAGACTTCATAAAACTTCATAAGACTTCATGAGACTTCGTAAGATTTCATGAGACTTCAAAGATTTCTTAAGACTTCATGAAATTTCAAAGACTTCTAGAGACTTCAAGACTTCATGAGACTTCATGCATGAAGTCTCTGTTGTTTCCCCCTCGTATTAACGTTAACGGGTTGCGTTAACCGTTAATCTCAAATTAACGGAAATGTACCACCCCTACTTACAATAAGCAAGCTTTTTCCACTATGATCATCACCTAAAAACGGTTTACAACATAAATCAACAATTTTATATTCAAAATGTTTAGTAACTAATGTTGCTGTTATGCCTAAATATGGAATATTTGTATCATCATCTGACCATTGATCTGGACTAACACAAATACAACCACTTTCAAGTGTTTCTTGTAGGATATCTTTCAATATTGAACGATATTCATTTGCTAAATTGTAAATATGATCAGATATTGCATATGCGCCACATAGAGCATTAGCGACATCAAATTCACCATATTTTGACCCTGAAAGGTAGATAGAACAAATAATACACATAACTCGATTTAGTAAATTAAGAAAAAAAAGAGTATTTTACCTAAAATTACGAATTCTTGTAGAAGTTGTTTTAGTCCATTATCTTCAATAATTTTGAGTGATCTCATATCACGACATATCCATGGTTATGTAAGATCTTTAACAGTATTTATTTCTTTTTCATTTAATTTAACTTTTTTGAAAATATTCATTATACTATTAAGTTTTAGTTAAGTGAATGAAGATGTTGAGAATGTTGTTATTTGTTAAATTTTTTACACATTGATGAGCAAGCATATTTCGAGTACCACTACATGGTGTATAAGCAAATGTTTGATTGCATGTTTGACAACTTGTAAAACCCTCGATTTTCTCATATTCATCGGTAGCTTCTGACTTTTTAGCTGGGAATCCGAAAACTTTCCAACATAACGAAGAATTTGTTTTTTCATTTTTAATAACGGTATATGTTGATGTTTGTTGTTTCAGCAGTAATTTTATTCGTTCAGATGTATATTTTTTTGTAGATAATAATGAATTAGAACCGGTGATTGAAGGACAAGTGGTCATAGGAGCTGATGATTGACTATGATCAACGGAAAAAAAATTAGAATTAGAGAAAGTTTTAGTTGACAAAGTAATTGTTGATGAATGAGGTGAACTAGGCAATGACATTTTATTTAATGAAAAGGCAGTTTGTTAATATGAACAAATAGTTTCTTTTATTCTTTGTTTTTCTTTGTATAATTCTTTCATACCCATGTCTTCAAAATCGCCAAGGTTTGGGCGATGAATCGCGATTTTTCAAAATATTGACGATTATATCGCCAGCAAGAAATGCTTTTTTTGTCGGAATCATTACGAACCAAGACTTTTCGACAAAAAAATCGGCAAAAAGTCCTTTATTTTGGCGATTGTATCGCGATAAATCTCACAATTAATCGGGTACTAAATCGCGATTAAGTTGTCGATTTTTCCCCGTTTTTGATGGCATGGGTATTTATTACATATAACTTCCAGCGAATAAAGAAGTTAAATAGTTTTCCAAAAAATACTTCTATTGGGAATATGCGACATTTTTCGAAATTTTTTAATATTTTAGTCAAAATTTAGTTTATGAGCCGCCCATCAAAGATCGGATCTGCCCAGCCCACGGTTTCTTATTTCAAAAAATCTGGCCATGGGCTGGGCGGTTATGGGCTTAGCCTAGCCCATCAGGTGCTCTGGTTCAGATCGTGACCTTCACCTGGACGTCGGAAAGTGTAAACTCGAATCAAATACAATACCTCTTATTGAAAAAGCAAAAATTATGTATAAAAATTGTTTAGAGAATGATAGTATTAAAAAAGTCGTCCATTTACATAATTTTAATGTTATTCAAAATGACCAAATAATAACTAAAGTTTTGTGTGAAGGATGGGCCTTGTCTTCGAAAAACGTTAGCCAGCATTTCAATTTAAATCAAAAAGTTATATGATAGATGCATATAAGCACGGTGAGGATATTGACTTCAAAATGAACCCAGCAACACTATTTGTTGTGGGTTAGACTATCATGAGCTGTCTAATTCTAGCTTGCATATATATAATGAGGGTGTGGGTGTGAATGGGTGTGTGTGGGGATGGATGTGGGTGTGAATGGGTGTGTGTGGGTGTGAGTGTGGGTGTGGTGAAGAAATCAACGAAGATTTGCAACCACATCCATTATTACACCCACACTCACCCTCATACTCTCCCACACCGACACCAACAGCCACATCACACCCGCAGCTACTCCCACGAAAAGTGGTATACTTTCTTTTATTTTTTGATTGATTGGTTATGAAAAAATATATTTCTTGTCATGAAGTTCAAGAAACTAATCGTCGTTTAACTTATGAAATAAAATGACAAAGAACGATAATAAATATTTTTAACTAAAATGATAACGTGAACTATCTGTACGCCAAATTTTAACAAGACCTGCGGCCCATGGACTGGACTGGTTTTTGAAGAAAACTCATGAGTGAAGTGGGCCGAAACTATATGATCCACGGGCTTGCTTTCTCAGTTATCACCCGGCCCATCAGTTCATCGGGTCCAATAACGTTCCACCGATTCAAAAATAACTACATCAGGGCGATAATCCAAGATGATGCTCTTATTTAATTTCAATTTAGCGCCACCAAAGATAGAAACCCTTTTTACATATTTAAAATGCCGCCTGAAATAATCTGCGAGGAAGTAACCGGAAAAAGAATCGCCTAGAAATAGTATTTTCGCTTTTTTTATGCCTATGTTGTTATAGTAAGTGGCGTTATATTTCGAGATAAGTTGATGTTCTAGAACATGAGATACATCCATATTAGCCATCACGGCCAAGTCCCCTATACGGTTAACTCTTTGATTCACAACGAAATCCTCTCGGTGATGAGGTACGAACTGTGGATTGGTGACTAGTAACCGTTTTATTATTTCCTCATAAGCAAAAAACGCTCCAATGTTGTTCCAATGGGCATCCGTCTTAAAGTATAAATCAAGGTGGTGTATTTTCTTTGCTTTGATTAATATTTGTCTTATATCGATCAGCTTGAGCGTTGACCGTAGCTTCATATGTTCAAAAATCTGTGCTTGCCTACTCGGACCAATTTTTGTGCTAAAACGCCACGGTAGGTACTCTGGATAGATTGAGTGCTTCTCAGGAACTGGAAGAATTAAGAAGGTAATATTCCGCTTAGTAAACCATATATCTTCGGCTTCCAAATTTTTTTGTATGCTCATTAGTTGATCTAACGAATAAGGATGATATCCTTGCCAACCAGCAAGTCCTCTTGGATCAGCTGGACCATGTAAATTAACAAACAACCAATCATGCTTACCAATAATGACCTTTTTAACGCCCGATATTCCAAATAGTTTGACATTTAAGGTAGTGTGTGCTGCCACCAATTGAAGACGAAATCCAAAGTGATCATTGTAGAACAAGTCAAACTTCTTAGTGTATTCATTTATCTTTCGTATATTGAGCACCGGTTGATCGGCAAGTGTTCGCTTTTCTGTTGACGCAAAATCAGGAATAATTAGAAGCTGTCTATTAATCTCAGGGAGTGAGATAAATAGGGCAAAAATAAGAACAATTATCCGTTCCCACATTCTATGTTGCCGATAATTATACATATCCATCTCAGGAAGAAATGACCGGTATTTTATGATTTTTAATCAAAAAACAATTCAATAAAAAAATGTCAGTTAAATCAAAGAAAAACACATGTTTTCAGCTCTTTTTACTGAATAAAAGGAGAAACAGCTAATATCTAGTTTTTTTTTAAATTAACACTACCGCTTTTGATTAAATCGATGTTTTTGATTCAAAGCTGACAGAAAATCAAAAGAACCAAGTGTTAACCCTGTATTTTGTAATCAGAAAACTCAAAGGCGCCTATAAGTTTCAGTAATATTTTTGACCGAAGAGCGAGACATATGTAGGTTTGTAGAGAATTTTTTTCTCTATCAAATGATATATTTATTATTCAGTTCTATTGTGTACCGAGAAATTGATTTTTGGCTTGAAATCAAGCCAAATAGAGATCTGTATCGATATGGGCGTCGGAGTCAACTAAGTTTCTTGTCTATAATTTATTTTTTACAGTAAATGTTTTTTGATATGAAGGTTTTGTTCTCAGATATCTTCTCTACAAACTGATATATTTTGAGGATCTAATCAATGTTTTATTGAGATTCACGGACACAAAAGAAAGTTGAAGTCACAAAAAACATTTACTGTAAGAAATAAATTATAAACAAGAAATTTATCTGACTCCGATGCCTATATCGATACAGCTCTCTAATTGACTTAATTCCAAGTCAAAAATCAAGTTTTCGGTACACAATAGAATTCAATAACAAATATACCATTCGATAGAGAAAACAATTCTCTACAAACCTACATATGTCTCGTTCTTGAGTTTACACCTTGCAGTCGCCTTTCAGTTTAAAAAATTGGGGGAAAAGACTGGTTTAATCGAAAAAATTTGATTTCAGGGTTTGGGTGTGGGCACTATCTTCAACTTAAACTTACACCTGCCCCAACCTACAGCCAGACCTTTCGAGTATTTGTGATTTTTTCACCGATTTCTGTCAAAAATTGCGATTAACAAGCATATTTTTTCTCAGCCAAAAATGTATTTTAAACATAAACAAAGTCCAGTTCTGGTTGAAAATGGGTTACATTTTCAAAAGACTCAGCTCGCCGAACTAAGCTTTTCAACCTGTTCACTTCCTATGAACCGAGCTGCATAAACAGCTCATTTGAACAAACTGAATTTATCAATCAACATATTTCAAGGAACACCGAAATATACATTTTCCTCTCCAACCTTGCAAAAAGTATCCTTGGGGCTTTATGTAATACACTGTAAACTAGAAAATTAGTTATAGAGTTTTGTAAAGGATATTCTAGGAATGCCTATATGCATTCACTGATGAATTTCTAAATTTTTGAAATTAAGATATTCAGAAGATTAAGAATATGAATTTTGATTTTCTAATTAGAAAATCGAGTGAATTCATATAGGCATTCCTTGAATTTCGGATTCGATATATCAATTCGAACATATTCTGTTAACTAGAAAATCAAATTTGATTTTTCTCTTCATTATGTAATTTATTCTATTTAACTTTATTTCATTTCGTATTGATAATAATACAACGCGCAAAGATACAACAAAAAATATAATTATTTTATATTAGTAATAATACAACGCGCAAACGCAAAACAATAGTAGAAAAAAACATTTTAAAAACTAATAACAATTGAAACAACAAATAATAAACAAGTAACGCTCATCCTATGGATTCGCTGGCCCTTTTCTGAAAGAATTGAATTTTTTTTATAATTGAGAGGGAGTTTACTATGATTTTGTATTGTATTTGGCTTTAAAGTTAGTTTGAAAATAGAGCAATCCGCTGAATCGTGATTTATTGTCATAATTATTGAATGGATATGTACAACGTGTAGAAAAAAAAGAAAAAATTGATACATGTTGATTAATATCGAAAAAGTGATTTGGTTCTTCATGTCATAGAAAGTAAATGCTAACTGTGATATACACTATTACACACCTACATCCAGACATGAATGCTCCGATACAAGTACAAGTGTTTAATAATAAATAGTTAAAAGACGAGAAGAGAAGCTTTAATACAAATCAATGTGCTTCAATATTAGTAGTTAATTAAATGCGACTACGAAAAACAACAAAACACTACAATAAAGTATATACAGACAAAAAAAACTGAACGCTTGAAAACTTGAT